TTTATGATGTTCTACGTCACAGGCAATACATTTTAAATGAAATTTTCATTTATATGTAAGCTGTGCAGGTGGTTTTAGTAGGTATTAGGAAACACTTTCCGTTCCAATGTTTCCATCGTGAGTCATTGTCGAGTCTAAACTATTACAATCCGAATCATTGGAATGCGGACTGGAATAGTTTGCAGCTTCCTGTAAACGCATTAGCATGTTGAGTAAAGGGTCGCCATCATTGTCAGCTTGCGAACTGGGGCCAGTGTCAATCCCAATGTCGCGAGCCGTAATACTCGTCAGGCCCTGCGGAGGTGCTCCTGGCCACGGATATGTTTCTAAAATAAACTGACAGGGATCCGTCCACGGCGCTCGTCTACCATAAAGTTGTAACCCCTCCCTAGCCGCCTCCCGCAAGTAAGGCGCGATGGAATAATTCCAGACGTCAGCAAACCAAGCTCTCGCGGCGTCCAATTCGAGGGGGCAACCCAAAAACAATCGAGGACCAATTGCGACGTCACCCGAGCTGTGAGTCTCCAGGAAAGCATTTAAATGTTGCCAGACGCGAGGTAACCATCCCAGCACGGCCGCTAGTTCGGGTTGTAGGCCTTGTTCCAATTCTAAACTTGCAAGGCGCCTTCTTAGGACCCGTCCTAATAATCCGCGAGCGGGTTCCATATGAGGTGCAACCAAGACCCACCGAAATCCGTGCTGAAGTTGCAGACTTGTGGCCGAACAAGCGGATTGTGCCATGGTCCCTGAGAGATTATATCAAATAAGACTTGATAGCAAGTAATACCAATGATCATACTATATGTAAGACAGTGAGCGTTATAAATGCAAGATTAATTTTTCATTGTAATACATTTATGCCCTAGGAAATCGCCGTGGCATTTTTAAAAAAGATTAACAACATTTTTGTTCAAGTCTTCTAAAGATCTTGTGTCAGGTTTTGTGACAAAAAAATTGAAGAAAAAGTGTCAAAGTTAAAAAACTAATATATTTTTTTTTTACAAAACGGTCACTTTGATTTTGTTAAAAGACATAAAGAGTGTAAGAATATAACAAACGGTTTTTTTATATTTGAGTTTTTATAGCCGTGACATTATACAACTTTCTTTTTTCACTAGGAACGCAACATTTTTATTAAATTATTTGAAAGACTTTCTTTTGCTGTGTACAGCCATTGTTTATACACGGTGTCCATTTTTCGAGTGCCACTATGGGGATCTCACTTATCTTAAGAGATAGAAAGTTGGTTAAATTGGGGTAAAGTTGCCAATTTTCGTGCTGAATAAGAATCTGAAAAGACATTTTAAATATCTTCAATAGTTTTGAAAATATCTCAAAAAAAGATTTCAAATATAGCATCCTGTTTTTAATAACTCTCCAGATGACGGAGAAACACGTGGCAACTTTAGTTTTTCTTATGGGCGCCATTTTGAATTTTCACATTTTGAGATTACGTCTTTTTTTCTCTTTACAACGATATATCACATATGGTGGTTCAGTATCACATTTTTCCTAAAAATTCAATTTTTAATTTTTTAAGAAGAGTGCTTTGGAAATCAAAACGTTCTTTTGTTGTGAACAAAAGGTTGACTTATTTCATGTAGTGTCATTTAGGTTTATACTAGTTGTATTGCGAAAATGCCTTTTTCAAGTGCAGATCAAAGAGATATGATCCAAATTTACTACACTTCTCATCGAAATGCCCACATGACTGCTGCAACATACTTGCAGCGTTATCCAGAGGGGCAACAACCTAGTTTGAGGTATTTTTCTTTGCTGCATACAAACTTGGACGAATATGGTTCTTTTAAAAGATGTAGACAGCAATATGGTGATAGACCCAATTAATATGAGCAGGCAATTTTGCAAGCGGTTGAGATGAAAATCGAATTTCTACTTCTCTGACAACTAAACGCTGCAACCAGACAGATGGATCAAACTGTCAAACTTTTGTTGACAACAAAAGAACGTTTTGTTTTTCCAAAGCACTCTTCTCAAAAAATGAAAAATTGTATTTTTAGGAAAAATGTGACACTGAACCACTATGTGTGATATATCGTTGCAAAGAGAAAAAAAGATGTAATCCCAAAATGTCAAAATTCAATATGGCGCCCATAAGAAAAACTAAAGTTGCCACGTGTTTCTCCGTCATCTTGAACGTAATTAAAAACAGGATGCCATATTTGAAATCTCCATTAAAAAGTGTCCGAATAATGTGCTAATTAGAAATGTCTACTATACGATTAGTTTATCATAAAAAAATTAAAAACGAAAATCAGAAATTTTCGGTTTTTTGTGATATCTTCAAAAGTATTGAAGATATTTCAAATTTCTTTGCAGATTCTTATTCAGCACGGAAATTTGCAACTTTGCCCCCATTTAACCAACTTTCTATCTCTTAAGAGATCCCCATAGTGGCACTCGAAAAATGGACACCGTGTATACGTAGTATACAGGGTGAGATATTTTCATTTTAATAATAATAATAATAATAATATATCTTAGTGCATAGACCAACAAAACATATGTATCTATAGCACAAGTCAATTACAAACTAACAATTAGGTAATAATTAAAGATTAAAAAATTCACTAGTGGTGTAAAATGGGTTAAGAATCAGGTACTTTAACAGGTTTTGTTTGAACAGTTTAATTTATAAGCATTGGGATCTCGGAAACCATAAGTCATATAGATTCGGTTAAATGAGGAATGAGTTGTCGTTTTAAGAGCTTATTCAAGATAGCTTTTTGTTTTTTGAAAACAATCCACCGTCTACTAGATATGAGCAAAAAATAGAATTAGTCATTATTCTTTTAAATGTTGTAGAATCGTTATTATTAGAAATACAACAAAATGACACGAATAAAAGTTTTAGACATTGTAATGCTTAACACGATGAGCATACTAATTTCCTTCTCGATTTTACATTTTTTGATAATGCAAACTTTCATTTTTTAAATGGTAGTCATAGTTGGCTTTGACTTTTTTAAACAGGTCAAATTTTTCTCTTTATAACAATATAAGGCTTGCTAAACGTACTTTAATCAATAAACGCGCTGCAGGAATTTTCTTACTATTGTGAGGTAAATAAACAAGTTTTCCACGGAAAATAATATCTAATGAGATAGGTAGTGTAACTGTGGCACATTTAACATATCTCAGGGCCATCTTCGAAAATTAACTAAGTATGAAAGTTAAATTAAAAATCATATTAAATACACTATTAAAAATAGATCGTATCATGCCATGGAAAACAATAAACAAACAAAATAGGTATCTACTGCTGTTCATTGTTTTAGTTGAAAATTGACAGTTCTGAAAATTAAAGATGTTTTCTAATTGCGAAATACTTAATATGGTCGAATAATGATTAATTGTATGTAATAAAAAAAGTGTTCATGCAATTCATTACAATTTTATGAAAATCGACGTCAGCCATCCCTACCATTTCAACAATCTATATCGAAATCTGCGGCAGTTTGGTTCCTTTTCGAAACTAAAGAGGGCTGAACGCGTTATTAACGAGGATATCCAAATAAATGTATTGGCACGCATATCATTTATCAGTAGGACTTTCCCTGCCTCTAGTAGACCATGCTTCAAGAATTGTCTGTAGCAATTGGTACATTAATACGATTCAACAGGATCCAAAGTTTGAAAATCAAATTTTCTGAAGTGATGAAACCAGATTTGCCAATTGCGGTATGTTCAAGTACCAAGTATAATTCTCACTTACGGCCCTAAAGTTTTAAAAGGACAAAAATGTTTCTATTATTTCTCATGGCAAACTCTGTTTTTACTACTCTCAATAATACAAATAAGAGTTCTGTATCACTTATAAACAGAAAAAAATGCACTTTATAAAAATGCCAAAGCCAACTGTGATGGTTGCTATTTAAAAAAATGTAAGTGGTGTTATAACTCGAAAATTATAAAAGAAAAATGGAAATTAACAAATGTATCTTATTAAGCGGAAAAAGGTCTACAATTTTTGGTCTTGGAATATTTCTTTAATATTTCAAACACTAACGATTCTACAACAAACTAAATCTCTTTTTCGCTCATATCCAGTTCACTGTGGATTTTTTTCAAAAAACAAAAGCACGTCTTGAATGAGCTCTTAAAACGACAACTCTTTCCTCATTTAACCGGATCTCTATGTGTTACGGTTTCCGAGATCCGAATGTAAAATGAAAAAAAACTCACCCTGTAATCATTTAGGAAAAATGTATTCCTGGTCTTGTTATATTTTGCTCTATACCTACAGGCGATATATGGGACAAAATTCAGATGAAGCTCAGTAAAAAGTAACAAGGGTAGATTGTCGGGCTGAAACTGAAAGTACCTTCCATCCTATACAGGATGTTTTTTTGGGAGCTTTAGTTAAAAGTTTCTGGGAAAGTAAAATAGGTAGGTTTTTGAAAATTTGTACTTAGGAGTTACTCTGAAGGCCGAATCGATGTAAAATATTTTCAAAATGGCCGCACTTCCGGAAACACCGGAAGTAGATAGTAACTTCGTTATTTTAAATGGCAACCCCTATTTTTTATTGCATTTTTGGATTCTACGTGAAATTTCACTTCTTTTGATACCCATATGTCGATATATACCATTTATGGTTTTTAAGTTATTTTGACTTTTAAGAAAAAAAATGGCGGATGCAGATGGTACCTTGATAATTGATTACTTGAAAAAGGTTATAGTCATGGCAACCCATTTTTATCAGTGCATAGAGAATGAATAGGGCTATCTTTTAGTGCACTTAAAAAAAAGTTAAGTTGCGTACGACCGCCCCAATGGATATCCAAATTTAAGAAACTTCAAAGACTAAAAACTCAGTTTTTTTAAATGGTAGGAAGAGCCGACATCGCGGTCCCTATGCTTACTGAGCATCGGGATCAAGCCAGCATTTGCCCTTTTGCTCTACGCGAGGTTTCTGTCCTCGCTGAGCTGGCCATAAATGGCAGATATCGACATATGGGTATCAAAAGAACTGAAATTTCACGTAGAATCCAAAAATGCAATAAAAAATAGGAGTTGCCATTTAAAATAACGGAATTACTATCTACTTCCGGTATTTCCGGAAGTGCGGACATTTTAAAAATATTTTACATAGATTCGGCCTTCAGAGTAACTCCTAAGTACAAATTTTCAAAAACCTACGTATTTTACTTTCCCAGAAACGTTTAACTAAAGCTCCCAAAAAAACACCCTGTATAAATATATGGCAGACGTTTCAGTTTTCTGGGATATATTATTAATTTAAATTAGAGCAGAAAATGGACAGTGAAAGAATGCGATACGCCTACACAAAGCCGCGCTTGACAAACACATAATATAAGAGCCATTGTTCTAATATTGCAGTGAATACTCCATACTATTGTGGTAAAAACATTGACTCTGCGGACAGAGTGGACTTATCCTGCGCACAAAATGGAGCGTTTACAATATTGTGTCTATCTAGTGTAGTATTATCTTTGTAGGTAGCGGGTGAGAACACTTAATTGCTACATTTAGATAGTCAGCTTCAATCACTAGACTCAATTTTAAAGTCAAATAATCGATCTCCGTACTTACCCAGTAAACAAGGTAAATTTCGTGGAAGGGATCCAAGAGCATCAGCTAAAGGGCCCGCTTTATGCAGATTATCAAGAACTACCACGCACGGTAGTACATTATTGTCACCTGTTGCTGCTTGTTCACCCAAGTGATTTAGGTATTGTCGTAATTCCTTACCCGATTTGTTATCACAGCTAAAAAATCAGAATAGCATAAATGCAATTTATGACCATTTCTCAACTTACTTGAAAGTTGCTACAGCTTCGGCAGGATCACGTCCCAACGATTGTGCGTGAAATTCGGCGAGACGTGTCGCTAAGTGCGTCTTGCCTGTTCCTGGCGCTCCACACAAAACTAATCTACGATGTTCGGATAGTAAAGACACAAACCTTTGAGCGACCCCTTTGGGAATTAAAGCTTCAAATGCTAATGCCGCAACGGGTTGCAAGACAATATGCAGGGACGTTACACATCCAATCACGTATCCGAATGGTAACAAGTGGGGAGGTTGGGAAGTAGAATCAAATCTTCTTTCTGATTCCCCGAGCTTGTAGCACGCGATCGAATCTCCCCCTAAACCCAACCCGCCTCCAGGATCTAATCTGGCGACGTGCTGTTTGAATGCTCTTCGCACTGCATTGTCTAATTGAGACCACGAAGTGGCCGCGCCGACACTGGTGTGGGCGATTGCAATTTCCCCTGTCGCATTTATTCCGTTCCCATCGCTACCATAGTGCTCCACGTAGTATCTAAAAGGACAATTAATAAATCTTCCTGTACACAAACGCTTACTTCTCAAAGCAATGGGGTTGGCCCAAATACACCGTCAGTACAATTCGCTTTCCATCGGGTTCGACTTCTGGTGGCGGTTCCTCTATAGCAATCAGATCATTAATCGGATCCATCGTACCACTATTAACCACGTCAGGCGGAACCGTCGTACTCCCACCCACAAGCCTTTGAAGTCGTTCGTTATTTTGTTTTAAGTTTAACATTTCACTCTGCAAAAAATTAACCTAGCAACATTATAATAAGGTCGACCGACCTACCCTCATTTTCATCACAGTATCTTTTAAGCTTTCCAATTGATGTGCAGAACTCAGAGCTTCCAATCGGATATCGGTTAAAACTAGATCCTTCTCACGCAACTGTTTCTGTAATTCAGCAACTTCCGCTCCCGAATCGATCGGAGCGGGTGGCGGCGGCGATGGCTGTCTTTCGTTCTCCGATTCGGTTTGTTGTGTTTGTACTTTTGTTACTTTGGCGTTCCGTGAGAATGCCTTTGTAAAGGAACTCCGTAACTAAAATAAGAATAAATGTAAGTATGTATTAACTAAAGGGTAAGCTTCGAATCTAATATAATAGCTACTTATACCTCAATAATATGCAAGTTTATCAGTAAAAAGGTGCTGAAAATGTAGTTTTTGCCTAATTTGAAACAAAGGTAAGTAGTGAGCAACATGTGTAAATAGTATGATTTTTTCTAGACATAAAGGAGGCATCTATACATTTTTTTGACATCAGTCTAGCATCCCTTGGATATGTTACAGACTGACAGAAGGACCAGTGGCCATACTTATTTCAAGTTCAGTGATATCGCTGGGGACCGCCTAGAATGCCTATAGCTACTGCATAGTGCTCTATTATTATTAAAAGCAACTAAAACAAATAGTCCAAGCTAAATAACTCCAAAAAGGTTTATTTCCAAAAAAAATTAGTTACTGGGCGAAACCGGGTTTTTCAGGCAGGTGAAATGAATAGAAATTCGGAAAAAATAATTAAAACATCTGAATTTTTCCGCGGGTGAAATCACGGGGGTTGAAAGGGGTGGAAAGTGGTATTTTGCAAATTGTGGTAAAACTATTGATTTTAGACGAAAATGTTAAACGTAAAAGTTATAGAGATTAAAAAAATGAGCAACTTTTGTATCTGCACTATTTTCACATAATATCCAATTTTCCTAGAAAACCTGTTTTTTTCGTTTTTTATTCTTATTTTTGCGAAAAAATGTCGTAGGGGTTTGAAATTTGGAGGTAACACAGGCTATATAGCCTGTTTTATGATAAAACAGAAGATTGGTTGGGCCCATAAAGTTTTAAGATACACCGTTTTTGACAGTAGGTAAATAGGCTTTTTTGCAAATAAATTACCGTGTTGGATGCGCGCTAATAAAAAGTTTTGGAAATCTGTCTTCTTTCTCCCCTTTAATGTTGCTAAAATATTTTCATTTGTTTCCCAGTGCCCAACTGCCTTAATTAAAACATCTTTATTATTCTTTTTTCTGGCATTTTTACCGCAATAAAAGCAATTCGAAGTTAAATCGAATTCTTTTGCTTCCTGAACAATATGTTTTTGTTCACTAACTCTTCTTCCTGCCTGTTTTACGGCTGATGGGAATAAGCTGGTCCTGTTGATCGTTAATTTACAGGAATTATGAATAAAATCCTCATAAAGTTTATTCCTGCAGGTTTGACATCTCAAATCATTTGCTTTTGGCCGGTAAAACCAACGTTCTTATTGCAGATTTTGCAAGTTTATCAACAGGTCCAACGCAATTGCATCAGCTAAAAAACAAGCAGGAAGAAGAGTCAGTGAACAAAAATAAATTGTTCAAGAATCAGGAAGCAAGATACATAATTCGATTTTATTTCGAATTGCTTTTATTGCGGTAAAAAAGCAGAAAAAAGAAATAATAAAGATGTTTTAACTAAAACAGTTGAGCATAAGATAACAAAAGAGAATATTTAGGCAAACATTAAAGAGAAGGAAGAAGACAGATTTTGAAAAAATCTTTATTAACATCCAACATGTTGATTTATCATGTCAAAAACCGTGTATATCTTAAAACTGTTTTTCCGGTTTTTGGCGATTTTCGCGAATTTTTGCTATAGGAATAGGTAATATTTATTTATTTTTGTTTATTGAAATATAAGTCTTCCCGAAAATTTTGCTACCCCGCGCACCTCTGTACGATGAAAAAAAATAGATTTTTCATCCCCTTGAGAAAGAGGTGGTTTTTTCAGAAATCGTGAGATCTTGGAAACGGTTCAACTTTATGGGCCCAAACAATTATCTTCTGTTTTATCATAAAACAAGTTATGTTACCTCCAAATTTCGAACCCCTACGACATTTTTTCGCAAAAATAAGAATAAAAACCGAAAAAAAACAGTTTTTCCGGTTTTTGTAGGAAAATTGGAGGGTATGTGAAAATAGTGCAGATACAAAAGTTGCTCATTTTTTTAATCTCTATAACTTTTTCATTTAACATTTTCGTCTAAAATCAATAGTTTTACCTCAATTTGCAAAATACCACTTTCCACCCCTTTCAACCCTCGTGATTTCACTCGCGGAAAAATTCAGCTGTTTGAATTATTTTTTTCCTAATTTCTATTCATTCCACCTGCCTGAAAAACCCGGTTTCGGCCGGTAACTAATTTTTTTCATACAAAAATATTATATAGCCTGGACTAAAATAGATTTTGTATGTACAGAGTGTACACATTTCAGTGCAGAAACCTTTGAAATAGGGTAGGTGCACAGAACGAAGCCGAGGATAAGCCTTTTGTATCGATTTGTCCTCAACATGAAATTTTCTTTGAGAAGACAAGATCCTTAGTTATGAGTACGTATTACGACGGGGGCGAATTTTCCACGGAAGAAAAAATTTAAGAGCGGATTTACCAGAGGGCCAGCTCTGGATAGTTGGGTCAATTGTTGTAAGGGCGAGTTTATTTAAGTACAATGCAGTTGCATATACAGGGTGGTGACTTGCGTAACGCATCATAGGGATTTCAATGTAAAATTCATAACGTGCGATTATTGGCTTCCCAAATTATTTTAGAGCAAAAATGTATTAAAGTTTTTTGTAGAAAAAAATTTTTTACGCCAATCAACCGTATTAGTTTTCAATTTTTTTCATATAAAAACGGAAAATTAATAAAACCCGCATCTTTTTCAATAATCTGCGATGCCATGGAATTTTCTAAAACAAAACAATATCCAGTTGACAATTAGCAGCAGCTCGAAATGGATTTTATGATCGACTTGGTTACTGTCTTGCGGTTAATGGTGACTTATTCAAACATTTATTGTAAATTGTTAGATTAGGAAACCGTTTTTAGTAATTTGGTCTTTTTCTTTATGTTGAATTCGCTGTTCTAAATATAATACTTTTTGATAGAATTTGATTTGTTTTATAGCAGACATTCCATGGCATGACGGATATTGGCGTAGTTTTTGTATTATAAAATTCCATAGCATCACAGATTATAGAAAAAGATGGGAGTTTTATTTTTCCAATTTTCCGTCTTTATTATGCAAAATATTTAAAACTAATACGGTTGATTGACGTAAAAAAATTTTTTCTAGAAAAAACTTTAATACATTTTTGCTCTAAAATAATTTGGAGAGCCAATAATCGCATGTTATGAATTTTACATTGAAATCCCTATGATGCGTTACGCAAGTCACCACCCTGTATACACAAAGACAACGGAACGCCTATTTGGAAATGAAAAATCTTGAAATCTTATTCGCCATTAATTAGCATTTATAAATGGAGCTTGAACTATTTAAGACTGATTAGCAGATGTCAAAATTAGTAGTTAGTCGCGAGGCTAAACAGATTTTTGGATTTATTATGATAATTTACTGGGAAAATGTTATTGAAAATGCTATAGATACCTTTAAGCCTCGTGTGCTCTAGTTAGCATTAAAAATAAAAATTTTATTAGCCAAACCAAAATTTATTCAGAGAACTAATAATACACACCCATCCTTTCTTCTTCTTCTTCTCGTGCTTCTCTAAGCTACATGCAGATGAAAGACTAGACACACTGTCCGATGATGGTTGTCGCGCTAATCCAAGTCCAATACCCACTTGTGAGGATTGTGCTCGTAGCGACTCCATTGCTGCTTTCAATTCGGACAACTCGGAATCCTGCACAAACGAATCAATGTAAGTATCAAATGCCGTGTGAATATACCTACCTTTTTTTCTGCAGTTGCGGTGAGATTTTGCAGTCTTTGGGTCATTGACGATAAACTTTGTTCAAAAGCTGCTACCACATGAGCCTGTAACAATAGAATCGTGTAAGTTATCATCGTATCTTAAAGCCCTCGCACTGGCGCGGGTAGTCAAAGGGTATTTTTCAACATAAAATTTCTATAATTTGATTTGACACAAACTATTGAAACCTACCATCTGACGGACTAAATTCATGTAGGTACTAGCTGTACTTTTATTATGAAAAAAAAATGAGCTCAATCCTAAAGAAAACTATGGAACGCCGTTTTAGTATTTATACCAACATTTTATCATGTATCATTTTAAATAACAGTCAATCTTATGTCTCTAAATTTTTCGTTTGTTGTTTTTATCTTACGTATTAAGAGATTGATTAAAAAAATGTTGATTAATAAAGATGATACATGAATTAAAATGTTTGTTGATAATTTTAATTAGGCGCTAGTATACACGTACCCAAATACACTAAAGGATAGTTCCTGAAACTTCCGCACAATCACAAATACGAATTAAAATTATCAACAAACATTTTAATTCATGTAACATTTTAATTCAACAATCATTTTAAATAATGCTTTCCGATTTTAACAGCACGAATTAATATGATTGTTGAATTAAAATGTTTGTTCCTCGGTTTGTTCATAATTTTAATCCCACATTTAATATGAATAAATTTTTATGTTTGTTGAATTAGTTCTAGTTAGTTATATTACTGTTCGTTTATGTATTCGTTTGTTGATTTGTATTGTTAAACTTTCGTTATACACATTGCTATATAATTCATACCTCATTTCAATTAAGTGAAGTTTTTTAAACAAACATATTTAATGTTTCACATAAAAACAACAAACATAATAAATCGGAAAATAAAATTAACTGTTGTTTATAATGTTACATTGTAAACTTTCGTAATAAAAAGTAAAACGGCGTTCCATAGAAAACAAGTTCCAAGATAATCGTATGAACGATTTACAAAAAGCGCATTTCCACATTAACACTCTTTTTTCTAAAATAATTAGTTACGCTAGACAGTCATTTAACCAAAATGCGGTGACAAACCGTTATTTAGAAAGCACCTTTTGTTAAAATTTAGGAAAAATCACGTAACTTCAACGTGTTTTTATAAGAGAAAAAATTCCTTCCTTATTGGTGGAAGTTCGACACCATAACAAACCAAGTAGCAAAAAAAAAATAGAATAGGGACGGACAGACGGACGGACAAAGTAGCTACAATAGTGCATTTTTTCAATTTTGTGGCAATTCGCTATAAAAATGTGTTTAAATTCACTTTAATATTGCAATTATCCGTCATGTAATGGCTTAACTACAGTCTAGCTTTGTACCTAAACTGTGACTAAGTACCTATACTAGGTTAATTAGTTTGCAAAAATTACAGATCTGTTTCTTCCGCAAATACTTAAAGGTAGGTACAGAAATAAACCAAAGAGCTGATGATGACCCAAGATCATAGTTTAAATTTAATTCAATTAACTTGAACGTCGTAAGTGGTTCAAGTGAGACGTCTCTATTATAAATTTATAGTCTCTGTATACAAGAATTTAAACGGGCATCTGCATTACAAGTCAAATAAGAGCAGAAATATAGGTATGTTTTGAGTTATCGTCCGGCTATAGTATTACAAATATAGGTACCTAAATGACTGGGAACTTTCCTTCTGAAAACTATGAAGATTTTGAGTTATGTTACTCCAGGAACGCCATTGGGAAACGGCGTTTTAGTTGCAAATAAAACAAGGTCTTTTGCATGTAGGTATGTTAGCAAAATCTAATTCAGTGTACACTTTGTGCACTGCACTTCAACTTCAACCGATTCTTAAAGTTCTTAAAGTAAAATTGGAAAGGGTTCGAATCGAAAACAGCTTGTTTTGGTTCTTCTACCATTCATTTCTTTGCACAATCAATTTTTAACAGTGCCAGAAGTAAAATATGAGTGACAATAAGTGCCAGAATGTCATAACAATGAATGTACAGCGTGGCCAAATAAGAATGCGTGGTACTGTATCTGGGAACCTGTCCATCGTAAAGGCTTGCGTTAAAAAATTTATTAGTAAAACGGCTATTGAATATTAGCGCAGCATAATAAAATGCTGTTTTATTTCATAAAATCATTTCCGATAAGCGGCCACCATACTTATACAATAAGATCAGATTTAGGACTGACATTCACAATTTAAACCTTAGGCATAGAGGGCTACTAACCCTCAACATAAAACAGCACTATTTGAGCGGTCATTTAGCTACACCATTGCTGTGATGTACAATGCATTGCCGTCGCCTCTTAAGAGTTTACCAACTCGTCAGTTCAAAAAACAATTGTTTAAACTTTTATTTCACTCTTTAATTTGATTTCGTGTTACTGTTGATTATTCCTGTTCGTATTGTCTTTTATCTTTCAATCTGTTCATTCATCATTTCACTATACTTAGTAAGTAGTTATTCTAAAATAATTTTGTTTTCTTTCGCTGTTTTGCTCTGTACAAATATTCTCTGTTTTGTCATGGTGTAGATGGAAGAGCAGCGTTTTGCTGAATCTATGCCATGAGGTTCTAAAAAAAATTTTTTTTTTTGGAATAAATATGATTATTATTATTATTATTATAACACAGCAAAATGGAAATAAAACGTATTTTTATTTATTGACTAAACTCAATCTGACATTATATTTTTTTTATTATTCAAAGCCAAACTATAAATAAAAGGAGTTCTAAACTGTGATCTCCAACAACGGCCACGAGAAAAACCTGGAAAATATTTTTAAGTTTCTGAAATGGCCGCTAGGAGGCGTAACTGCAATCTGGAATCTAAAGTCACTAAATATAGAAACTACCGCAATCCATTGGGCTCGTGTGTTAGAGAGAGAACGCATGATTTTTGCCCAAAAATGGCGGAAGTTACCAGATTCTAGTAACTTTAATGTTAGGGATTGTTCCACCTGTTTGGAGATATGTGTATATATTTTTATAAAACATGACAGTACTATGAAGTTAGGTTATAAAAAATTACAGCTATTCAGATTTTATTTGTCAATTTTTTTAAGTTGGCAGCAAATTTGCCCAAAAATGGCGGATGATTGCGGTACTTTCTACATCTAGTGACTTTACTGGAATCTAAAAAACGGATTTTTCTGTGAATTCCGGTATATTAACCTAACAAAAAAATGTCTGGTCTTTGAAGACGACGATAATTAATCTGAACCTTTTTTGTTTGAAAATTTTTGCGGTATCTCTAAAAATGAAGTGGTGAGGGTATTCAAAGGTTTCCGTAAAGATCACCCTGTATCTTCGAAACGACTGAACCGATTTTAACAAACTCGAGTTAATTGAAAAGGGTTATTCTTCGGCTACAAATATTATAATATTTGAAGATTTGTTAGTTTCACATATCGCCGCTTGAGGGCTTTTTTCGACATTCAGACAGAAATGGTTAATTTTCTCAAAAAAATTAAATGCGTTGGTCTGATTTTTTTTTTTCATGAAAAAGTAGCTAAATGATGCATGGCGATTGGAACGAAATGATCGCAATTATTCAGAAAGGCGTATTTGTTATGATTTTATTTTTCAGCCACGTTCTACACCCTTCATGGTATTCTAATGAAAGGTCTCAACGAAAGGAATTAATTTTTACCAACCATAGTTCTCCTCCCCGACCGACGTCTGGAAGAAATATATCCATTGGTGATGTCAAAACGTTAAGAACGAATATCTAAAAAACGGTTTCTCCGAGGGAAGTACTCTCAAACGCAAAATGAATCGACTGGACGAGACATATCTATTGGTGAAGTCAAAGCTTTCAGTGGAAATATCTGCAGAATGGAGTGTCGGGAGATTTTGAATATATGCCATGCTGCCCTTAAATGTTTTGTTTATGTGTAAAGAGCCTCCTCCCCATTAATTATCTACCAAGAAAGTTAACATTAGCATGGTACTACCTTATAACCCAACCATTTAAATGCGCTTTATCTGTACAAGAGTTTGACACAATTTATACTTGTTTTTTATGGAATTCGTGACCTGTGGCATTTCTCTTAGAGAAAATATGTACTTATGTAAAATCCCGCAAAAAAATAGAATTGCAAAAAAATTCCACCCCCCGCACCATATGGGGTGTCAGTAAAATCATTTATATACAACCCTCGCAATTACCTATCCTACTTATAGGAAAAAAATGGAGTTTTTCTCTGACTGAAAAAAACCCTAGAACTATTAACGTTTAACGCCCCCCCCCCCTCGAACCCCCCTAAACATGCAGATAAATTACCTATGTGATTTCATTTTCAGGTTTTGCGTATGTTATTAGATCTACTTTTTATATGTGTAGGTACAGAGAAACAACCTTTACATAACATGTTGTTTAGAAACGTATGTATACCTACTTATTAGCATGTGTAAACTTGTAAATACATGCAAATAAAGTAGGTGTAAATTTAATCATTACAAATTTAAAGGAATAAATTACATAATCACCTGAAAGAATAAAACAAAATTTAAATGAGTTGAAGAAGGCTTGTAGAGTAAAAATAAGTTGATGACATACTGTAGCAGCATGCGAAGGTCGAGTAGTAGTTTTAATCACATTCGTCTGTTTTCTGGAATTTTATTACGTACATGTGAGCCGTTATAGTATTAAGTAGGTATATTTGTCTTAATTATTCAAACTAATTTTTATGATTATATCCACAATGTACACGGCATCTTTGAACAAAGAAATGGGCTCCAAACATTTACAGTTACGCAACAATTGTTTTTCTACCTATACTAATTACTACGCGGTGCCCAAAACGGTCATCAAAATTGGAGTACGAAGGCAATCTAAAAATGCCATTGTAATGGCTGCAATATAACAACAATTAAAACTACATGGACATGGTCAAATAAAATGACCTTTTATTCGTAGTTATTTAAAACTCTAAAAATGTCGGTGACAATGCGCCGTACCATAGGCGCAAATTCTGTAATAATGAAGCCTAATTAAGCTTGATGATATAATAAAAAATCTCGATCATCTCACGTGGGTAGCTGACCAATAAA